TGGGATTGGCAGCTGAGGGAAACTGCTAGGGGAGGGAGGGGCACACCTCATCAACAAGGGTACCTGCATAATCAACGTTTGCATACCCAATCCTGAATTGTACCCCACATCTTTAAAATTAAAAACAAAAACAAAAACACTTGATGGCATGGGAGTATAGAGTAAAATATTGCTTACTAGGAGCTGAAAAGAGAAGGGAGGAAGGGGATAGGAACAGGCTAGTTAATAAATATACAGTAGCAAGATAGGAAGAATAAGTCCTAGTGTTCTATAACGCTGTAGGATGAGTAAACAATAATTTCTTGCATTTTTTTCAAATACTAGAAGAGATTTTGAATGTTCTCAACACTAAGACATGATAAAAGTTTGAAATGACAGATATGCTAATTTTCCTGATTTGGTTATTATACATTGTATACTTGTGTCAAAATATCACACTGTACCCTATAAATATGTAAATTATTATGTCACTTTTTAAAATCAATAATAAAAATGACTAAAATTTAAAAATGAATGAGTGAGGTTCCTATGCAGACTCTAGATGCCTTCCCCATGTTTGAAGAAATAACTTTTAGAGCCCAACGTATGAGTTAGCTCCCAGGTAAAGAGAAACTAAACTATTGTAGCAAAGTAAATGTAAAGTTTATTTTAGGCTTAGGCCAAGTTTTAAGAAAAAGACAATGCAGACATGAAAATTAAGGAAAGAAAAAATGTTAAGCGTCAGACTGATGTGACACTTGTTCAGGAAGACATAGGCAAATAGTTTTTATTCGACAATAAAAAGTTTAGTTTAGCAGAGGAGCAGGAGACTGAAATGTTTGGGTGCTAGTATTGACATGGGAGGATAGAGTATCATTTAAAGCAAAGTTATAGTTTTAAAGAAAGAATACATCTCAAATTAGTGGTTTAACAGCTAAATACATAAATTTCAATTTAAAAGTTTTAAATTATACATCCTTGGTGTCACCTGGTATTAGCCAAGAGGAAAGCCTTCCTAGCAAGACACTGAGAACCCCTTCCTGGTTCAACTATGCATCTCCACTTCAGCTGTTTTACATATTAGTCAACTATGTATATTTCATTTAAACAGAAAGTTTCATTTGGGGAAAAAAGGAGGTCTGGAATAATATTCAAATACTAGTGTCAATGTATCTACTAGATAAAATTATGTAAGAATCCCAGTGTTAACACCAGAGAGAGAAAGGAATTTTCCTTTTACAAATGACTCTTTGCAAGGCTCCCTTCATGTCTCTGTTCCTCAAGCTGTAGATGAAGGGGTTCAGCATGGGGGTCACCACAGTGTACATCATAGCCATGACAGTCTCCTTCAGAGTAGAATTACTTGCTGATGGGCATAAGTAGAGGCCAATAACAGTCCCATAGAATAGTGACACCACAGAGAGGTGGGAGCCACAGGTGGAGAAGGCCTTACGGATACCACTAGCAGAAGGGACTCTGAGGATGGAGGACACAATTCGCACATAGGACACGATGATAAGTAGGAATGGGATAACGAGGATGAGGCCTCCCATGATAAATACCACCAACTCATTAACTTGAGTATCAGAGCAGGCCAGCTTCAGCAGAGCAGACGTATCACAGAAAAAATGAGGAATCACATTGTCTACACAAAAATATAATCTGGCCATGAGCAAAGTATGTAACATGGCATGTAACATGGTCAGAACCCAGGACAGCACCACCAGGGAGAGACAGAGCTTGGGTCTCATGATGGTGATGTAGTGCAGAGGGAAACAGATGGCCACATAGCGGTCATAGGCCATGACCACAAGGAGAAAGCTCTCCAGATCTGCAAAAAACAGGAAGAAGTACATTTGGGTCAGACAGCCTGTGTAGGGAATGGATAGGTCTTGGCTCTGCATGATCTGCAACAATTTGGGCATTGTGACAGAGGAAAAGCAGAGGTCAGAGAAAGACAAGTTGCTGAGAAACAAATACATGGGCGTGTGAAGGTTGTAGTCCAGTCGAATGAGGATGATGATGAGGAGGTTCCCCAAGACAGTGGTAAGATACATGGCCAGAAACAGGGCGTAGAACAGGTTTTGCTGCCCTGGGTGGATGGGCAGGCCCAGGAGGAAGAACTCTGAGATGACAGTTTGGTTCCTTCCTGTCATGCTCTGTCTCCAATATCTTTAAGAGAAAATAATAGGGTGCCTTAAAAATCTGAGTAAAAATAACCATATTCCTATGGTCATTAGGTGTCCTTTAGTAATTGATTTCACCATAACCAAAACGACAATCTCTATCATCAGAAATATGCTACAGCACTACATCCAAGCCACCTTCACTTCTCATTAGATGTAACAATCCTCTTGCCTCCCTTCTAAAACACTCTCATATGCTAGTTTCCGTGTAATCACACTGACTTCCTGACACATCCTGGTCATTCATACTGAATAAATGTAACTGGTTTATTTTCCAACTGTATCTTATATTTGGGTGCTTCCTGAGGCTTTTTCCCAAACCCTGTTCTCTTATAATTCTACAGATACAGCCTTGAAAGAATTCACCTATTCCCACAGCATCGATTACAGTCTAAACCTCATGCGTAAACCTCACTATCATCTTCAGTACTGTATTACCAATCGCTTCCTGAGTATCTCCCCATGGATATATCTCGACTACGTTCAGCTCAACAGATCCCAAATGAAACTCATGATCTCACTCTTCCCTCTCCCAATCCACTCCTCTAGTCCCTCATATCTCAGTAAAAGTTATCCAGGCACAAGTTGGAAACCTGAGAGTTTTCTTTCATTCATTTATTTCTCTCAGCATCAATATCTAATCTAGCAAGTTATATAGATTCTGTACTTCATTCTCTTTCTAATTCATCCACTGTTTATCCAACAGCCTGGACCAGGCTGACATCTTACTTTGTCTGGACTATTGGAACATCCTGTTAATTCATCACCCAGCTTCTATGTTCACTTTCCTTCAATCCCTTCACATGGTAGCATTCTAAGATAAAATACGGCTCATCATTTCCTTAGAGTCATCATAGAGTCTCAGTGCTCCTGAGATAAAGGCAAAATTTATCTCAAAGACACAAATGTTATTTTATTGATATTACCTGAGATGTGCCTACCTGCTAAGCCTCATCTGGCTCAACAATGACTCTTGCATCCCACTCTCCAGCAATGCTGGATTTATGTCATAATTTCTTATTTCTAGACTTGCTATTTCTCCTGCCTAACATCTTCTTCCCTCTGCCCCCTCTTCACCTGGCTTATACTCTCTTATCCTTCAGGTATATGTCCCTGACTCAGCTAAACCTTCTCTGTCTCTGTGGACCACATGAGACTTGCTGCTATGTTTCTACAACATACTCATCCAATAACACTCAATGCCCTTGATTACTAGTTAATAACTGATTTCCCTAACAGATAGTAAACTCCATACAAAAAGGGGCATGAATGCTTTCATGACTGTAGCAGAGCCAGCACCTGGGATGGTACCTAGATGTGGTCGTTTCACTTGTATTTGTTGGCTGTCCTTCAGGCTGAGACACATATTCTTCAAACTTTAAAGGTAGCAAACTCCCATTGAAATTAGAATACCTACTCCTACTAAATCATCACAGAATAAGAACTCACTAGCTTTAACTATTTAGCACTAACTCTTGACATTTTGCAGAAAAAGTCCTAGATGTAACTTCAGATCCATGTAAAATATTACACCATCCAGCCACACTACTCTTTATCCTAAACAAATAGTCCACTATGTATGCCCATGTTGTTACTTTGTTCCTTTATTGATATCCACATGACTCGGTGATATTGATATGAAAAAAATACATCTGATAGAGAATTTTAGTAATTTGAGGGAAAAAGAAATAATTTCTAGCCTTAAAACCTTACTCCAGTTATTCTCCAGCTATCCATACTTCAGAGTGGCTCAGAGCTGAGAAAGTTGAAGAGGGATGTTAACACATATGGGAAAATCCTTCCCTAAGGAGACATAACTGGTTCTAACTGCTGAGATTTTTGTCATGCTGATGCTACTTAATCTAGTCACATTAATCGTTTTTTTACATTTGGACATGATGTGCTAGTGTTGCAGTAGGGAAATGCATCCAGTAAAGTTCAACACGCCTGTTTTCTCAGAATTTTGCTTCCCTAGGAAATGAGTGGGATCCATCTCTGGTGTCAAGGGTCTTATTAGGAATAGCACACCCAAGAGACAGCACTTGAAGGTGCTGCCACTGACTAGTGAGTCGCTTGTCTTCTTTACCTGGAAAACACACAGTTTTCAGTCTGAACTGCACATAAGAATCACAAATGTCACTACTTCTAAAAATTTGATTTACATATGAACTACCTAGTGGACTGGTTAAATGCTGATTTTGATTCAGTAAGTTTAGTATGGGGCCTAATATTCTATATTTTGAAAGTTCAAATTTTATATTTGGTGATATCACTTCTGTTCTGTGTACAACATTTTGTATAGTAAAGACATACATTTGTAAAATACAAATTACTGTACTGTTCCCCAATAAATGTAATCAGGGTAATCAGAATATCTGGGAGGGGACCTAAAGTAAGCACCTTCAATAATTCAAATATATTGCTAGGAGTTAGGAACCTCTATATTAAATACCTATCTCACAGAGATGTCACTGTTGAAACAACAAGCTTGTAAGATTATACTGTATAGTAATACTAATGAACACTATCATTAATAATAAGATTTTAAGTGGTGAACATTAATCAAAATATTTATGCAGCATGGCAAAGTCTTGAAAGGCAGAGAGGTGGAGAAAAAGAAAGTTAACATACCCAGAAAACTATTCTATAGAGCATCACACAATCAGGGAAATCAAAACCTTCAGGTTGAAGGGGTATTAAGGCACCAGCTTATTTACCCTCCTGCCCAACCTACCTAGTGTGTCTGAGGACCCTGACCCAAAAGCCTGCTCCTCTTTATCCATTAGAAGTACATGAAGAAACAGCTTTTGTAGTTGTCACCTATGGGTGTACCTGTCCTTTTCACATCTCCCCTTCTACCTATCCCTGTACTAGCAGGGCTCTGCATCCCAGAGGAGTCTAGATCCTGGAGGAACTCATTAATGACAAAGTAACTAGGTTCTCTCTAGGAAAAAGTAAGAGTCCCACAGCGGTGACTGATTATGGTCACTGATGACATCTGACTATACTTTGGGGGATCATGCAGATGGAGAGACACTCATGGATGGATACTTAATCACTGCCTGTGTAGGGAATGGACAGTAGTCCTGTGTAGCTGGAGCCTACATTTTGAGAAGTGTCAAGTGAGGAATGGTTGGATAAACCATAAAAGCAAGCAGAGACCAGACTGTATCTTCTTAAGTATCTTAAGGTTGTAAGAGAGCAGGCTTTATCCTGTGGAAAACAAGAAGCCATCAGTGGTCTTTGAATAGAGTACCATTATGGAAAGACATATGCTTTGGAAAGATTTCCAAGTGGCAGAATCTCTCACTACAATCCACTCCCTGTAAACAAGCCCTAGAAGAGAGAAAAACTACAGTCAACAAGGATCAGACTTCTATGACCCAACCATATGCAGACAAACAGAAAGGACAATAAAAGAAAAGATGAACTCTCCAAGATCATGTTCAATTCTCCCTCAGGCCAAGACAGGAAAAGAAATTCAACTAGTACAGCCTCTGTGGAAAACAGTGTGACAATTCCTAAAAGATCTAAAAATCGACCTCCTATATGACCCCACAATCCTCCTACTGGGAACTCAAATCACTATATGAAAAAGATACCTATACATGCATGTTTATTTTACAATAGCAAAAACATGGCACCAACTGTGCTGCCCATCAAAAGAGGACTGGATTTTTAAAATGTGGTGCATGTATGCAATGGAATATTACGCAGCCACAAAGAAGGACAAAATTATGAACCTCGCAGCAACTTGGATGGACTTAAAGGCTATAATACTGAGTGATCTATCACAGAAACAAAGAGCCAAGTATCACATGTTCTCACTCATAAGCGAACCTTGAACAACTATAGTACTACTATAAGAAAGGGATTGGCAGTAGTGGGAAACTGCCAGGGGAGGGGGAGGCACACCTCATCAACAAGGGTACCTGCATAATGAACATTTGTATACATAATCCTGAAATGTACCCCACCTATTTAAAATAAAAATCAACAAAATAAAAAGAAATTCAGATTTGTAATCCTTAGAGTTACTTCTCCTTCTACTCCTTACATCTCTAGAAAAACCTTAATAACATCCAGGCACCACCATTATCCCTACTACTCTACACATGTCAGATTACCTCCAAGTGCTAGTTTTTCCTTACCTTGCAATGGATCACAAGAGCACAATTGACATTTATAACTTCTTCCACACCTATTCCATGTTCCCTTTTTCATCATGTCAGCTAGATTCAACCTTCATTCCTTGGGAGTCTGAATCCTCTATTGGGTTGCATTAACTTTTACAAAAGAATCTCCTGCATATCCAGGATGGTCTTTCCTTTCCTCATTGTATAGAAACACAATTTTCCATTGTTAACTAGAATTGAATTACCTCAAGAATTACAGCAACTCCCTTTTTTGTCTATTGGCTCAGTGACATAAAGAGCCCAAAACTGCCAAGTGGCAACTCAACTTTCAGTAAAATAGAAGCATTTCTGGTAGAAACATTCTGGCCTTGGGAATTGTATCAGATACTTCTTCACCACTTCAAATTCTCTCAGCCATCATCGCATTCCAGCCACAGTTGCAGTCATCAATTCTGTACAGACTTCAGTCAGCTTCCTACAGATTTAGCCTGACAGTATTACCTTAGGCCTGGTCCACCTGCTTCTTGTGTCCTGCCAAAAGGCTTCTCTAATTTCATGAAGTGGACTATCATGGAAAACCAGCTCAACACTAATACACACAAAACTTCAAAGTGCAAGGGAGTTAGTGTCATATGCGTCAACCCTTAAATACAGGAGCTAGGAGCTGATGGATAGATGTCTTAGTCACTCCTAGTGGTCACTGACTCAATAAGCCACCCTACTATTGGGTCTCTCTTCTTTTCTATTTAACATCCCTGTATCCCTCACTTCTCCCCATGAGATAAAATTCTCAAATAGTCTACTTGCAAATAATACTTTGTCTTAGTCTCTGTTTTTTGGGTACCCCAGGTAATGATAGAAAATGAGATTTGTAAATCAGTAGAGTCCAAAATTGTGGGAGTGGGAAGCAAAAATTCTGTGAGTATATTATTTGGTTCAATAATGAGAAAAGTCAATCATGCTACCATCCCTTGATTTCCAACCTCACGAATCATGGCTAAGGGATAAATAACATCATATATGGCTTCCTGGTCCAAATCACATACTATATTCTATAAGAGAATACACCAATCTTTCTGGCACTCCTAATTTTTGTTTCTTTGTGAACTGCTTTGACTTCTACACTTGCAAAAGTACTTGGCACAGAGTAGATTTTCATTAAATACTTGAAGTAATTAAATGAACTGCACAGACTAGCGGTTCCAGAACAATGCTTAATAACAGTACTGGTAGTGGGCACCCTAGTCTTATTCCTGATAATGGGAATGCCTCCTGTATTTCCCCTTAAGCCTAATGCTGGTTTATGGGTTAACTCATATGTATTATTATCCTATATTAAAGAAATATTATTTGTTTCTGTTATATCAAGCATTTTTATCTGGCACGGTTGTGGAATTTCAGCAAATGTATCACTTTAATAAAAACAGTAAAATTATTTTTCAAAAACTCTTTCCACATTTAAAATATTTAAATATTTTAATTGAATAAATGAAATACAGAAAAACAATAACTATAAAACTATGGAGATGGTAAATTAAGCATTAACAGAAAAATGCTGCAATTTATACTATGTAAACTTCCTTTTATCACCAATTAAGCTTCATTCATTGCATTAGTATAATACTGCATCTCAACATCTGCAATTTTAACAAATGCTTGGAACGATTTCTGTTCTGAAGCAGATGCTGGTCTGACAGAAACACATCTGAAAATGTTCTTTTTCTGGTCATAGTTGCCAACACACCTATGAACTCGGCCTCTAATCAGTCTTGGAAGTTCACGATCCTGTTTTTCAAAAAATAAATATCAAATGGTTATTTATTACTTCATCTGAATTTCAGCTTTTTTAAGCTAATAATATGATCAACTAGATATGCATCACCCCAAAAACTATAATTCCCTCACCTAGTAAGGACCTTATTGTTGATAAGGCTATATGATAGCTAGGCATATATGGGTGTTCTGTCAGATGAAAGACCTTCACTTGAATAGGGCTTCATACAAGCTAGTAAGCTTAAGTTGCTTCTTAAAAGACTGAATAATTCCCAATGTAATGGCACATAAATTATCCACTTTTAATCAGATTGCCAGAGTTCTACTTTCAGTAGATGGCACTAGGTGGTTCAAAACAACTCTCCAGCTGAGAACAATTAGAATAGCTGGAGGAAAAAATTTGTTAAAAATCTATTTGTAGGCATCAGAGAAATATCAAGACAGTGAGGAATTACAGAGACAACATCTGGGAGAGTATGAAAGTTGAGAATGGGGCCTGACTTGAGGGTGGTTTCCCAAGATATCTGCAAATCACAGAAAGGCAGTTGAGAGTCTAAGAAACTGAGGAGAGCTTTTGACAGACTCATATAGGTGGGAAACAAAAAAATGTAGTCTGAGGTCCCCAAGGAAAAAAGATTTTAGTAACTCCCCCCATCCCCACTCTCAGTCCTACCCAGGTTTAAGATTGGCATCCAAAAGGGCTATACCTTTAAAGGGACTAGTAAACCAGAAAAAGATCAGCAATCTCTATATCCTCTCAATCATGCATAAAATTAAAGCATTATGAAATTGCTTTCATAAGAGATCAAAAAAGCACTAATTATAAAGGGGAAAGACTTATGACTGATAAAAGGACAATATTAAAATGAAAAACTTCTGTTTATCAAAAGCCACCATTAACGGTAAAAAGGCAAACCACAGAGTATGAGACAATATTTGTAATACACAAAATGAACAAAAGACTTGTACCCAGAATAGCTTTTTTAAAAATCTATAAATCAATAAGAAAAAAACAAATAACTCAGAAGAAAAAAGAAGACACCTGAACAGACTTTATAAAAGAAGATACCTAAATGGCATATGAAAAGGTACTTGACCCCATTATTCACCAGAAAATTGTACAGAAATAAGATAACACTAAACTTACCCACCAAAATGACTATAGAAAAAAAGACTGACAATACTAAGTGTTGGTAAGAATACAAAGAAATCACAACTCTCCTATACTACTTGTGAGGGTTTTTGTTGTTGTTGTTTGTTTGTTTGTTTGTTTGTTGAGTTGGAGTCTTTCTCTGTCACCCAGACTCGGGTGCGGTGGCCGCTCCCGGCCACTGCCAGCCTCGACCTGCTGAGCTTCAGTGATCCTTCCACCTCAGCCTTCGGAGTAGCCGGAATTACAGGCGTGCGCTACCACGCCCAGGTGATTTTTTTTTTCTTTATTGTAGAGATGAGGTCTCGCTGCCCAGGTGGGTCTCGAACCCGCGGGTTCAGGCAATCCACTCACCTCAGCCTCCCAAAGGTCCGGGATTACAGGCTGAGCCACTGAGCCCGGCTTACTTGTGAGTTTTAAATGGATACAACCATTTGGAAAACTGTTTGGCATAGCATAGCAATATAAATGAGTTAACTATAGCTACATGCAACAACATAGATGAATCTTACATTTTGTCAAGTGAGGGAAACTATTAAAAGACATACTGTATGATACTATGTATATAAAGCTCAAATACAGGCAAAATTGATGACATTAAAAGTCAGGATAAGCCGGGCTCGGTGGCTCAGCCTGTAATCCCACGCCTTGGGAGGCTGAGGTGAGTGGATTGCCTGAACCCGCGGGTTCGAGACCCACCTGGGCAGCGAGACCTCATCTCTACAATAAATCAAAAAATCAGCCAGGCGTGGTAGCGCATGCCTGTAATTCTGGCTACTCGGAAGACTGAGGCAGAAGGATCGCCGGAGCCCAGCAGGTCAAGGCTGCAGTGACCGGGAGCGGCCACTGCACTCCAGTCTGGGCGACAGAGTGAGACTCCAACTCAAAAAAAAAAAAAAAGTCAGGATAGTGGTAACTTTTAGGTAGAAAATAGGAGGTAGTCAATGGGAGGAGGCACAAAGGGTTTCAGGGATGATGGCAAAGTTCTACTTCGTAATCTGGGTATCATTTACTTTCATACTTCATAGAACTGTACAGTTATGATTTTTATACTTTTCTCTATATGTTATTTTTCAATAACAAAGTTTTTCATCAGACTTGGAAAAAATAATAAGCACTCAAGATATAGAAATTAACATGACAATTCATATTTCTTGATCATCTGCAATGTATCATGCACTGTACATTCATGTTTTAGCATTTAATCTCCACAACAACCTTTCAAAGTAGAAATTCATCAAAATCATGAACTTTGGAGCAACCTGGATGGAATCAGAGTCTATAATACTGAGTGATCTTTCACAGAAGCAGAGAACTGAGTATCACATGTTCTCACTCATAAATGGTCCATGAACAACTACTATAAGAATACTATAAGAAAAGGCAGCAGGAAAGTGTGGGGGGCAGAGGGGGCAGGGAGGTGGGATTGACAGTAGTTGAAATCTACCTGGGGAAGGGGTAGGCATACCTCATCAACAAGCGTACCTGCCCAATGAATATTTGTATACCTAACCCTGAATTGTACCCCACAATTCTAAAATAAAAAAATTTTAAAGCTAGTAAATGGTGGCATAAACACTGGAATCCAAGTCTGATTTCAAAACCAACATTAACCCTATCCCTAACCCATTTTAGAAGTAAGGACAAACTGTTTTACAAAGTATGTAGATTTTATAAGGTCTAAAGCCTCCTTTGTTATCTCCAGCTTTACTTGTACCAAGCCTCTTCCTTATATCCCAGTCCATTCTCTGCCTTTCCCCAATTTTAAAAGTACTATGCTTATCCTCATCCCTTAACAGCTCTACACTTTAGTAATCATAACTACCTGCAATTCACCAAACAAGTTAGGCTCTCTCTTAGCTTCATGTTTTTGCATATGCTGCTCCCTCACCTTAGAAAGCATTCTTCTCCCTCTCCCCGATACACTTTGGCTCAATTGAGTCTTATTAGTCTTTAAAGATCTAGGATAAGTTACTACTTTCTTTGAAAATCTTTCCCTGATCTGCCCCAACCTTCCTATCTACCTTATAGCACCCTGCACAGCCCTACTTCTTACCTGCACATACCTTTTATCATACCACAGTGTATCATTTATGTATCTTTCTACCTGAGATTACAAAATTTGGGGGAGAATGAGCCATTTACCGCTTAAATTCCATTTTATATCCCTTGTACCCAGCACAGTGCCTAGCACATTGTAGGCTCTCCATAATAGTTAAACAAATAAACAACTTTAATATCAGAACTAAAACCAAACAAAATGCTGAAAGTAATAAACTACTAACAGAATTTCTATTGCAAATGGAATTATAGCCTGGTTGTTTTGTTGACATAGACTTTGCAAAAAATACTTTGAAAATACTCACGATTTCATAAAATACACAAGGCAGTGTGCTTTTTCCATCTCTCATAAGAAAAGTCTTTGAGTAATATGGACCAGGTGTAACAGCTGAATCGAGAACAGCTAAGCAACATTGAAACAAGGGGAAAAAATCAATGCTGGTAAAATGCAAATAAAATTTAGCAAAGTGAAGTTGATGCCTAAATAACTGTTCTCACACCAACCTCTCAAAGTTCTATTTATACAGTAATAAAGAAGACATTTCAAGAAGGAAAAATATTTCCAAAAGTTATGTACTAAAATAAACAAAATTTGCATGCAGCCTACTTATGTAGTTAATCCTCACTTGTACTCCACATTCCTATAATAAAATGAAATTTAAAAATAAATTAAATAAACAAAATTTCTGGCCCTCCCCAACTTAGAAACAGAGTATATGTCAAGTTTGTAAAATTGACAATAATTGGCCATCTGAGGCTTTTTCCTTAGAACGTGCTCTATAGAATGGTTAAATCCCTAGACCAGTCTACAATATAATAATAAAATATACATGTATTACAAACAAGCATCATAGTTTGATGAAAAAAGAAACATTGAATTAGAATCAGAAGTCACGCAGTCTAACCTCAGGTTCTTCAACTTACTAAAATTTTATGACTGAGCAAATTACGCTTTTAATTTATTTTTATTGAATACATTTAAGGTGTGCAACATGCTATATATATATATATATATACATATGTATATATATATAACTTGCTTGCTTACTTTAGTAATGCTTTACTATATTATATGCATAGTAAATTTTATATATACATATATATATATAAAATCATGTGTATTTTGTAAGGTTTCAATAATGGGCATGTTACCCAGTCAGAAATGATAATATGAAAAGAGACATTTTCTAGCTTCTGGGAAAGACCAACCAGAAGACAGTTATCTAAAATGTGACAGTGTGGTATAAGAATGTGTAGTCTAGATAATTTTGATAATTAACTTCCCAACATAAGGGAAAAGTCAGAAGCTGCTGGAGAGAACTTAGTATGGAGCTTCAGGATGAAGTCAACACTGAGACAGGACATAGAAAGAGAGAATTCACTGTGCCATCTCTTAAGCAGCTGGATCAAGCACTGCCTGAAGTCAGAAACCTGGCAACTTTACAGTCCTTTGAATAATTCCCTATTATTGTTTAAACAGCTAAGGTTGACTTTTTTGTCACTTGCAACTAAAAGAGTCTTCTTGTATACCAAGCACTACACTAGGCATTAAAGTTGAATAAAATGAAGTCTTTACACTTGATGAGTTCAGAGTCTAGTCTGGGAACTCAGAGTTATTCAGCACTATAAAAGCTAACCAGGCTCAGTGGCTCAGCCTGTAATCTCACGCCTTTGGGAGGCTGAGGTGAGTGGATTGCCTGAGCCCACGGGTTCGAGACCCGCCTGGGCAGGGGAGACCTCATCTCTACAATAAATAAAAAAAAATTAGCCAAGCATGGTAGTGTGCACCTGTAGTTCCAGGTACTTGGAAGGCAGAGGTGGAAGGATCGCCAGAGCCCAGCAGCTCGAGGCTGCGGTGGCCGGGAGCAGCCACTGCACTCCAGTATGGGCGACAGTGAGACTCCAACTCAAAAAAAAAAAAAAAAGCTAACCATCAATATATATATGACCCTCTTCATCTCTTGATGAGAATGTCTATTGCTGTTTACATCAGTTATTGTGATATTTTTAAGAGAATTCTTCTGGAGTGAAACTGAACAAGTTACCAAAGAGAACTTAGGGAAATCAATGGAACTAGCATGTCCTTTTAATGGGCTTAAGTTATTTTTAATATGTCCACTTTCAAATGAGACAAGATCCAGAGGCATCACAGGAAAAAGTAATTTAGTAAAAAGTCCAATAGAATATAAGGTCTTTAAAACAAGATGTTCTACTTCTGACAGTATTCTGGTTCTGTCCAAAACCAAATAGAATAGCATCTGATATTGCAGTTACATGGTTGCTGGTAAGAACATGGTGGCTGGGATTGGCAGTTGAGGGAAACAATGAACATCTGTGCGCCTAACCCTGAATTGTACCCCACATCTTTAAAATAAAAAAGAAAAGAAAAAGAACTGAATAAAATAAAAGTTAAGTCAAGTTTCAACACAGAGTAGAAACAGCAATACCAACCAGCTAAGAACTATGCTTCAGGCAAAATGAGTAGGGCTTACAGAAGGGCTATTTGCAGAGCAGATGGAACTTCCAAAGGTCAGAGAGAGGCATGGAAACCTCCAAAAAGTCAAAAATAAAAATGGAACAAAACCAACAGCTTATACAATAAATTAATAATAATAATATTCTTTCAGGAGCACAAAAGTAGCCACCACCAATAACGTCCAGAAGAGAAAACTGTTGCATGGAAGTATAACTCAAGTCAAGGACCAGAGGTGATCATTCAAGTACTCACATAATTAGAAAAGACATTATAATAAAGTATAATCCTTTGGCATTAAAGATGGAGGAGCCATATGAGAAGGAATTTAAGTGACTTTAAGGAGCTGAGAGAGGTTCCCAAGCCAACAACCAGAAAGGAAACAAGGACTACAATTCTACAATTACAAGGAACCAGATCCTGTCAACAACTGAATGAATTTGGAAGTAGATTCTTTCCCAGAGCCTCCAGATAAAAGCACAGTTCAGCCAGCACCTTGACTTTGGTCTTGTAATACCCTAAGCATAGAACCTAGTCTGTAGCTTCTGACCTACAGAACTTGGACTTAAGAAATGGATGTTGTTTTCAGCCACTAAGTTTCCAAAACTTTGTTATGCGGCAATAGTAAACTAATACAGTTTGCTTTAGTCAAAGTTTGCATCTTAGCTGAACCCAATGTCACTTCATATAATAATATTTTGTCTTTAATAGTGACAAGAGAGAAACTGGAATCATTTTTAGGTGAAAGTTAAACACATGAAAGTGCACTGATAGAAATCAATATCTATATGTACATATAAGTGTATGTATATAAATAACAGGACAAAAGGAGAAGGAGGAAGTTGAATTCATTTCCTATTGCTGCTGTAACAAATTACCACAAACTTAGCAGCAGATTTAAAACAACACTAAAGCATTATCTAAAGCATTTGGAGGTCAGAAGTTTATAATGAATCAGCAGGGCTATGTTCCTTTTGGAAGTTCTAAGGTAGAAACCCTTTCCTTTACTTTTTCAGCTTCTGGAAGATGGCTGCATTATTTGGTTCATGGCCTCCCTTCCACTATCTTCAAAGCCAGCAGGCCTTTCAGTCTCTCTGACTTTGACCTTTCTGCTTCCCTTTTGTAAGGACCCTGTGGTTATATTAGGCCCACCCAGATAATCCAAAATAATCTTTCCATTTCAAGATCCCTAATTCAATCACATCTGCAAAGTCCCTTTTGCCATATAAGGTAATATTCACAGGTTTTGGGAATCAAAACACAGACATCTTTGGGAGTCATTATCCTGTCTACCACAGGGACATTATTAAAACTGCAGCTCTTTGAATATACTTCAGGGAATAGCAAATATAAGACTTTTTTACCTAGTAGGAAAAGGACTAGTTAGACATTAAAACTCACTGTCCAAATGGTATTACTGAAGTATTTTTTAAGTATTATACCTACCTAATATTTCAAAAAGAAGTACAGTTTTCTGTGCATGTTCACGCCAATACTTCATGCTTTCAATAACTGCAGAAATAATTCTTAAGGAATTATCTTTTTCCTTAAACTGTAACTGATATAATGGAGTTTCCTTTTGGAAAAATATAAAAACATGGCATTAGAAAATTTTCATTTTTTTATCATTTTTCTTTTGCCTTTTATGTAAAGATTCTAGACCCTTATAATAAACAAATATATAAGTAGAACTACTGAACATTTTAGTACAGTTACTACCCTAGGTTAAAGTCATCATTACTACATTATAGGAGGAGAAACCAGGATATACGTGAAGACAATTAATCAAGATGACAGTTATGAATATGGGCACTCATTCCCTCATTCATTTGTTCATTCATTGAATATTTTAAAGCATTATTTGCCAGATGCTGTGACAAACACAGGGAAAACAATTCATTTCCCTAATGTATTCACACTCTAGGGGAGGAGTCAGATACATTCATTCATTCATTTATTCGTTTCAAAAGTGTTTACTGGGAACCCACTATGCACCAAACATAGCTATTAAGGAAGCAATAGTGAACAAAACAAACAAGATATCTTTTCTCACAGATTTTACAGTCTGATGGGGGATTCATAAAATAAATATATAATGGAATTCCAGGAATTGATAGAGTCTATGCATTTTAATAAAATGCAAGGTACTCAAAAAATAACAGATGCCAGACAGGATGTGGTGAAAAGGGAACACTTCTACACTGTTGGTGGGAGTGTAAACTAGTGCAGCCTCTGTGGAAATCAGTGTGGCGATTCCTAAAAGCTCTAAAAATCGACCTTCCATATGACCCTGCAATCCCCCTACTGGGAATATACCCTGAAGAACACAAATCACTCTATAAAAAAGATACCTACACACGTATGTTTATCGCAGCATTGTTCACAATAGCAAGATCATGGAACCAACCATGCTGTCTATCAAAAGAGGACTGGATTTTTAAAATGTGGTACATATACACAATGGAATATTACGCAGCCATAAAAATGAACAAAATCATGAATTTCACAGAAACCTGGATGGAATTAGAGTTTAAAATACTGAGTGATCGCTCACAGAAGCAAAGATCTGAGTATCACATGTTATCACTCATAAGTGGACCTTGAACAACTATCGTAAAACTGTAAGAAAAGGATTGACAGTGGCAGGAAACTATGGGGGGGGGTCAGGGAGAGGAAGGGAGGTGGAATTAACGGTATCAATATCTGTCCGGGGATGGGGGGGCACACCTCATCAACAAGGGTACCTGCACAATGCATATTTGTATACCTAACCCTTAACTGTACCCCACAATTTTAAAATAAAAAATATGTATTATAAAAAAATGAAAATAAAGTAAAATGCAAGCTAAAAGGAGAGAGATAGGGGTTATTATTTTAAATGAGTTGTTGAGTGAGGACAGAGGGAACAGCAAGTGTAAAAGCCCTAAGAGGGAAATGTGCTTGGCGTTTCTGAAGATCAACTAAGAATATAGTGTAAGATATTAATTGTCAAAGGTAGGGGGACACTTTCCTTTCTGAGGGTGAGGGTTATGAAGAACACCCAATGGAACTTTTTTTTCGAAGACAATTACTTTCCTCTCTCTTCCTCCTCCTAACCAAGATTCGAATATGCCTGTTGAAGATTATGGCCATAGTGAACCACTGCTACTAAGGTGATAATGTCGTATAATTCTTGTGCACAAAGAAACATAAGGTTGAAAACCACTGTGAATCATGCTGTATTAGTCATATTTTCAGCACAAAAAAAAGAAAAAAAATTTACACTGATAGCTTATTGAAACGACTGCTTTTTCAGACATATGGGCAGAACAAACATGGGGTACTTAAGCACTCAAAAACTAACAACAGTAAGAAGCTGTTACCAATCCTAGGCTGAAAGGACAATCGGGGAGGAAATACAAGTACCAAGTCAATGAAAGCTGTATTCAGGAAGGGGCTATATCATGCAGAGACACGGCCACTGCTGGTGACACAACATTTAAGCAGGAAGAGAATGGGAAAATCCAACCTCTCCTCCAGCCATCCAGGGATGTCGTACCAATGACTCCCATTGGCTGACCTCTAGCAGAAGCCAGCAAATAAGGAATCTCAGGATGATGTACTGTGTAGGAAAATTCTGCCTTCCAGAACACAGAGAAGGGCTGGTGAAGAAATTATTGGGCCAAGGCAAGGGAGCAGAGATAAAGAATAACCAGCATATATCATATATAAAGGGCATTTACAAAGAACAACTAGAACACTGAGCATAGAGAAAAAGTAAGATTGAGATAAAGGTACAAGGAAAGGATATAAGACAAAGCATAGACATATTACAGTGCATGCCATGTTCAAAAAAATTGTGAAGAGTCTAAAATGACTACAGCATTGGAGAATTGATATAATATGGAATGTAAGGCTGGAAAGATAGAACAGGACAATATTATAAAGCAAAAGTCAGAAAACTATGGCCTGCAGTCCAAATCTAATTTGCCGTCTGTTTTTGAAAATTCTTGTTGGGAGACAGTCATGCCCATTTATTTATATATTGTCTATGACTGCTTCCAAGCTATAGCAGTAGAGTTGAGTGGTATAGTTGAACAGTTGCAACACAGACAGTATGGCCCACAAGCCAAAACTATTTACTGTCTGGCTCTTTACAGAAAAAGTTTGCTGGATCTGTTTTTAAAAAAAAGCTTAAAATAAGATCTGAAGAGCTTAGATAATTTCTGCAAGCAGTGGATAGTTTTATCATTATCATAATAACTAATAAAGAGTGAAAGTCAAAATCCAATAGAAAACTCTAAAGCAACTATGAAAAGGAGCATCCATTCATACCCTCGAAGAAAATATTTTGAAAACTAACGTTCTTTCACTCCAGTGGTACTGGATGTTTATAGTAATCAAGTAACATATATCATGGAATTGATTTCAAATGCTCCTATCTCTGTAACTTTCTAAATATTTTATTTACCTTATATTTTAAAAATGCAAATAAGTCATTAAATTATATTTAAACATTACCTTCAGAGTGTTTTCTTCTAGAATATCATCCAACATCTTTTTCTTAAACTGATTTTGTTGAAAATTGGGCTTAAATGCCTGTAATGCATTGCTTTTGTCTCGACCTCTTATTGTGGAGCCAGATATTTTTGATGAATGTATCTGTCTGAGTATCTCAGTTTCTCTATGGTGAGATAAGTTAGAAGGTTCAGATATTCTCAATTGCTTCTGCTGTTGGGCTCCCAAACTCATTGGACAAGAATTTCTTTCATCATTTGCCATTAGGTTTGTTCTTTTACATTGAGGCTTAAAATCATTTTTATCCCAAGTTTTCAAACTTGTATTTCTGTTGCCAACTTTGTAGCTGTAATAGTGGGGGGGAAAGGTATTTGTTTATACATACTTTTTAATTTAAAAAATTAATAGTAAAAATTTCATTTATTTATGAATTTATGATTTAGAAATACTTTGTAACCACTAACTAGAAATTCCAAATATATCACAACAACCCCACAGTATATTATTACCTCTCTTTCCAGATGAGGAAATTGAGCTTTAGTGAGGAAGAAACTTGTCCAAAGTCATATAGCAAATTACTGACAAGTCTAGAACCCACAGAATGCTAGATCTCCCAACTCAGAGTCTAGTGCTACAAAGTATATTTTTAAGTGATACCAGGCTTCATATGACAGGGGTTGTATCCTAGAGTAAGATTTTAAGGACATTTGCTTACTTCTTTATATAATTTATTTTTAAATTTTCTACAAAGTAAAATCTTTTAAAGTTAAATTATGGCTTATCAGTGAGGCAGAGTAGATTTTTATTAGCTATTTGATTAGAATTTTTATGTTTTCACTGTGTAGGTTAAAATAGCTAATAGGTTCTGGATTTTAGGCCTTTGTCAGATGCATAGTTTTCAAATATTGTCTCCATCCTATGAGTTGTCTATTTACTCTGTTGATTGTTTCTTTTTTTAAATTTTATTTTAGGACTGGGGGTATAAGTACATGTTTGTTACATGGACATATTTATGTAGTGGCGCAGACTGGGTCTCAGTCCATTCTCCAAACAGTGAACATTTTATCTTATAGGTAATTTCTGAACCCCAACATCACCACCCACCGTATCTCCTCTTATTAGTGTCCCTAGTATATATTATTTAAAATAATTAATTTCATGATAGATTCTCCTCTGCTAATGAAAACTCCTAGACTTTAAATATCTAACTATAGTCTATACTCAACCACTCTCAGTTCAGAGCTGTAGGAAGCAAATAAAATCTTAAGTTGCCATAAAATGTCAGGAGTCATTTGAAAATTGATATACAGGTATCATTTTCAGGAATTATATTTGTAAGCCTTTATACTGTTATCTTTATAACATTTATTGTTTTAAAATTCATTAAGAGAATAAAAGTAGCATATCTAAAAATTGTGAAAACTGTTGGACATAATCAATTATAAGAGGAGACTCTATAAAAACCTTGGAGAAAAGTTAGAAAAAATTATCTTTCCTAGAAAAGCCAAACTCATCTAAAAGAAGGGAAGCTTTTGGAACAGAGAAGCACACTGACAGAAAAGACAATGTGGGAATTATAAGAGAAAGAAACTAAAACTGCTCTTCTCCCTCATCAAATGCCTGTGAGGACAAAGGAACCTCTGGTTTAAGAGTATCTAAGCTAGGGTTGCCCAGTATTTGCCAAGGAATTTACCAATCCCAATAGATTATACATTACAAGAAGTGCTAAAAGAAGTTCTTCAAGTTGAAACAAAAAAATGCTAAACAGTAACACAAGAGCATAAGAAAGTAAAAAAATTCATTGATAAAAGTAAATAGACAAGCCAGGCTCGGTGGCTCAGCCTGTAATCTCGCGACTTTGGGAGGCTGAGGTGAGTGGATTGCCTGAGCCCGCAGGTTCAAGACCCGCCTGGGCAACTTGGCAAGACCTCATCTCTACAATAAATCAAAAAATTAGCCGGGGGTGGTAGCGCGCGCCTGTAGTTCCAGCTACTTGGAAGGCTGAGGCAGAAGGATCTCCGGAGCCCAGCAGGTTGAGGCTGCCGTGTCCGGGAGCGGCCACTGCACTCCAGTCTGGGCGACAGAGTGAGACTCCAACTCAAAAACAAAAAGTAAATAGACAAATACAGAATGCTGTATTACCACAATGATGGTGAGTAAATCACTTTTAATTTAAGTATAAAAGTTAAAAGACAAAAGTTTTAAAAATAACAATAAATTATGGTAATGATGTGCAGAATAAATAACTTGAAAATTGTGACATCAATAGCATAAGTGAGGAGAGGAGAGGTGAAAGTGTAGAGCTCTTATATGCAAATGAAGCTATCAGCTTAAAATAGACTCTCACAACTATAAGATATAAGATATTTTATGTAAGCTCCATGGTAACTACAAAGAAAATACCTGTAGAAGTTACCAAAGAGAGAGGAGACGGAGAGACAGAGGGAGGGAGGGAGGAAGGGAGGGGGAGAGAGAGAGAGAGAGAGAGAGAGAATGAACAATTCTAATTAAAACAAGAACAAAACACAAATGAAGACGGAAAGAAAAAAAAAGGAACAAAATAATTACAAGACAAACAGAAAACAGTTAACAGGGTCACAGTAAATTCTTCCCTATAAATAATCACTTTAAATGTAAATGGTTTGCCGGGCTTGGTGGCTCAGCCTGTAATCCCAGCGCCTTGGGAGGCCGAGGCAAGTGGATTGCCAGAGTCCGTGAGTTCGAGACCATCCCAGGCAACTTGGCGAGACCTTGTCTCTACAATAGATAAAAAATTAGCCAGGCATGGTAGCACAAGCCTATAATTCCAGCTACTTGGAAGGCTGAGGTGGAAGGATCACTGGAGCCCAGCAGGTCAATACTGGGGTGGCCATGAATATGCCACTGCACTCCAGCCTGGGCAATGTAGTGAGATTCCAACTCAAAAAATAAATAAATAAAATAAATGTAAATGGTTAAAACTCCACAGTCAAAATACAGGCCTGTCTCAAAGATACCATGAATTCGGTTCCAGATCACTGCAATAAAATGAATATCTCAATAAAGCAAATCACAACAATTTTTTTGGTTTCCCAGTGCATATCAAAGTTATGTTTGCATTATAGTTTAATTCTGTTAAGCGTGCAATAGAATTGTGTCTAAAAAATGTACATATCTTAAATTTAAAAGTACTTTATTGCCAAAAATGCTAACAATCACTGAAGCCTTCAGCAAGTCGTATTCTTTCCACTGGTGGACAGTTTTGCCTCAATGTTAATGACTGCTGACTAAATCAAGTAGGTCAGCAGCCCCCAACCATTTTGGCATCAGGGACCAGTTTTGTGGAAGACAATTTTTCCATAGACTAGGTGAGGGGAGGGGATCATCAGGCATTAGAATCTCATAAGGAATGTACAACCTAGATCCCTTGCATGCACAGTTCATAATAAGATTCACACTCCTATGAGAATCTAATGCCACCACTGATCTCACAAAATATAGAGATCTCCTCCCCTGCTGCTCACCTCCTGCTGGGTGGCCTGGTTCCTAACAGGCCATGGACTGGTACCAAGCTGCGGCCCAGGGGCTGGGGCCCCCTGAAGTAGGTAAATACTTAAGGCTGGGGTGGTTGTGACAATTTCTTCAAATAAGGCAAAAATGAAGTTTGTCACATTGATTGACTCTTCTCCTTATTAAAGATTTCTCTGCAGCATGTGATGCTGTTTGACAGCATTTTACCCACAGTAGAATTTTTTTTAAAAGTTGGAGTCAATCTTCTCAACCCTACTTCTGCTTTATCAACTAAGTTTATGTAATATTTAAATCTTTTATTGTCATTTGAACTTTGTTCATAGCAGCTTCACCAGGAGTAGATTCTGTCTACAGAAGCCACTATCTTTGCTCACCTATAAGAAGCAACTCATCAATTCAAGTTTTATTATGAGACTGCAGCACTTTAATCACATCTTCAGGCTCCACTTCTAATTCTAGTTCTCTCGCTATTTACACCACATCTGCAATTACTTCCTCCACAGAAGTCTTGAACTACTCAAAATCATCTATGAGAGTTGGAATCTAACTTCTTCAAAACTCTTGTTAATGTTGCTATCTTGGAGCTCTTCCCATGAATTCTGAATGTTCTTAATGGCATCTAGAATGGTAAATCCTTTCCAGAAGGTCTTCAATTTACTTTGCCCAGATCCATCAGAGGAATCACTATCTACATCAGCTATAGCCTTACAAAATGTATTTCTTAAATAGTAAGACTGGAAAGTCAAAATGACCCCTTGATTCATTGGCTGCAAAATGAATGTTGTGGTAGCAGACATTAAAACAACATTAATCTCCTTGTACATCTTCATCAGAGTTCTTGAATGAGTAGGTGCATTGTCCATGAGCAGTAATTATTTGAAAGGAATATTTTTTTCTGAGCAGTAGGGCTCAAGAGTGGGCTTAAAATATATCCAGTAACCATGTTGTAAACAGATATGCTGTCATTTAGGCTTTGTTGTTCCATTTATAAAGCACAAGCAGAGTTGATTTAGCATACTTCTTAAGGACCCTAGGATTTTCAGAATGATAAATGAGCACTGGCTTGAACTTAAGTCATCAGCCGCATTAGCCCCTAACAAGAGAGTCAACCTATCCTTTGAAGCTTTAAAGCCAAGCGTTGGTATTCTCCTATCTAGCTATGAAAGTTCTAGATGGCATCTTCCTCCAATGGAAAGCTGTTGTTTCGTCTGTATTGAAAACATTTTGTTTAGTGTAACCACCTTCATCAATGATCTTGGCTAGATCTTCTGGATAACTTGCTGGAGCTTCTACATCAGCACTTGCTGCTTCACTTTAATGTTATAAAGATGGTTTCTTTCCTTAAACCTCATAAACCAACATCTGCCATCTTCCTGCAGCTTCCTTGCCCCTCTCAGCCATCATAGGATGGAAGAGAATTAGGGCCTTGTTCTGGATCAAGGCTGTTTCGCTTTCTTATCACTCACGTGAGCACTGGAGTAGCATTTTTAATTTTCTTCAATATCTTTTCCTTTCTATTCACAATTTGGTTAACTGATGCAAAAGGCCTATCTTTTGGCCTGTCTCAGTTTTCAACATGCCTTCCTTAGTAAGCTTAATCACTTCTAGCTTCTGACTTAAAGTGAGAGGCATATGACTTTTCCTTTTACTTGAACACTTAGAGGCTACCGTAGGACTATTAATTGGCCTAATTTCAATATTACTGTGTCTTAGGAAATGGGAAGGCCTGGGGAGAAGGAAAGAGACACAGGAACAGCCAGTTGAGAAGTCAAAACCCTTACAACATGTATCTATAATGTTTGTGGGACCCCAAAACAATTACAATAGCAACATCAA